CACCCCAGGCCCCTGCCAAAACCTGACAGTATGAATTGGAGAACAATAATTTATGTTATTTTAGTGGTGAGCCTTACTGTAGTCAAAGCCCTGCCTAGAAGTTATCGGGACATAGGTAAGATTATATCTCATACTTTTACTCTATTCTTCTGTTCAATACCGATGGCTGCAACTTCGCATGCGTGGTTATTAGGTGTCTCACTTTGCCACTGCCAGTTCTAGATGGGTATTTTCTTATGTGTCAAAGGTATACAACAAAACTGTATCTGTATAAATTTTTTGTGATCAACCTTAGATGTGTTGCTTCTTAATGGCTTGAGAATCTCTGTAGAGTGCAGGTCGGCCAGTGATTTCAGACAGGAAGTCTATTGAGGGGTAATTTAATCCACAGCGACGTGGGTGCGCCACTGATTTTAGGTACTCCAGCAACTGCTAAACCACTGCCTGTGGTTGTTCCAGCCTCCCTCCACAGTCCATGAGGAAGCGAGACAGAGAAGTCCCGAGAGGGACTGGCTATTCAGAGTAGCTAAGTTACGCTATTGCTCTCTATTATCCTTTGGAGGGGTCTTACTCCCTCTTCACCGACTACTGACGGAGCCTACAATGACCACACTTTTCACTAAGGTTAAGTGCCTAAAATGAGACAACTGAAAACCTCCGATACTGTGCGGCTCAGATGCGTCTTTCACATTACATATAGTTATCATTAGTCAACTTTTTTTTCATCTTTATAACTTCCAAATGCACTAAATGGTCCAACAGTGTAAAACAGAACCGATGCTTGTGTTATTTATCTCATGTTGTCGTCTCAGTTGACACCCCCACGTTACTCAGAGGAAGAAGCCAGCTTATTTCTTGCATTTGTTTGATCCTTTTACACTGACCTCAGCCTTACCAACACCCGGGTGAGACAGTAACGTCTTGGCTTGGGAACAGGCCCATTATTTTAAAACTAAAATAAGCTACAGCTCTGTGACTTTTTGAAGAGCTTTGCCTACCAATGTAGTCCTCAATTTATCCCATGTTTTCTGCACCGAAAATCCTTCATCTGTAGCTAAAGAGTGGTCAAGCGCACCTTTAAATAGCTGTGGCAAGGTTAAAAGGTGTTTTGTAAGAAAGATGCTTACTTAATCATGTGAATCGCATCATCAAAGTGGCTGAATGCCCTCCAGGTTTTAGTGTATTCCTCCCTGCAACGCTTGGGCTCGACAGGGAAATTCCATTGGCCCTGTTATATTGTAGGTCAGAAACAAATAGTTTCGCATCCTCATGCTTAAGTCAAATAGGAAATTCAATCTTATGCCTTCCTCCTCCCAGTGCTAGTACCCCAGGCACTGAATTGTCTTTCTCCAAGTCTCCAGTACCAAAAAAAAAAAAAAAAAAAAAGGATTTGATGAAGCATTTCCTAAAACAATGCTCAGCCAAAATCCATGCATTACTGGTAGTAAAATAAATTAGGATTTTTAAAGGTAGAAGGAATGTTCTGTAGGTAGTCTGCATCAGTCCCAGCTCAACCAAAAAAAAAAAAAAAAAAGAAGGTATTGGATGAAGCATTTCCTAAACATTTTTTATTCAAATTCTCTTGTTTTTCAGAGGAAAAAAACAGCATTGGCCAGCGTTTTTCTCAGCTGCAGGAGAAAAATTTTAAAGCCATGTAAGTTGTCCAGGTAAAGCGTCTACTTGCAAATTTGCTGCCACTGAAGATCCTTGTGTCATTTGGAAATGAACCTGTACTGCGAGTCAAAGGCTGACCCGTTCTGCCAGCCCGCGCCAACTCAGGCCGGGGTGATAGGGACCCTCCTACTGTCTCACATGTGAAAGTTCTATAATTAGTTTTTAGGTAGCCAACAAGAGGTTTAATGCTTTGTGTTCTTCTCTAGTGCCATGATCATGTTTGCTCAGCATGTGCAAGGAGGCACGTTTGGCAAAGCCCTTAAAATGGCTGAAGACGTCACAGACCTTGCCAAAAAGTGCGCTGCTGCAGCCAGAGGCAACCCGGATTGTCTGAAGCCTTTGGTAAGCACATTTGTGCTTCTGATGTGGCAAACACTTTCAGAAGTGACTTGTAATTTCAGAGCCCTGGTATGCATTTTTCCAAAGAGGCACGAATACATCATTAAGAGACGTGACTTCCTTGCGTGTGCATGTTTGGCCTTACTGACTCATTCTCCAGGCTCCCATCTACAAGGCATCTCAATATAAGTGGAGGAAAAGGAAGCCCCTCTCCTTCCCCCACCCCAAATCTCACAGCATCTTCTGAAATCCGTGACCTGTATCTTTCTAAAAGATGGTCAGAAAGTTGTGCTTTTATGGCTGGTGTAACAAAATTCGGGAGCCAAATTAGGTATTTCTAGCAAATACAATGTTTATAGGCATTTGCTCCACTCCATTAACTCACATTCCTGGTTTTGAATGGTGTCTGCACCACCACATTTTTGGAACTGGCAGATTGAATCATGAAACATGAATATCAGTCTCTGTCACGACCCATTTCTGACTGGTTAGACGCACGGAAACAAACCCTGAATTAAACGAGTTTCCCCGCTGAGGCATGTCTGACCGGCGGACTTGAGCACTGCTACTCGATGAACAAGAAACTCTTCGTTGTATGAACCTGACTGTAATTAGAAAAGCTTAGATCCTGCTATGCTGCAAGCCGCAGTAGACAAATCGAACAATCATCTTGACTGTTATCAAGAAAGAGGGTCTGAAGAGCCTTGTCAGTTCAGAGTGTTTGAAAACCATTCCCCTTTGAAGTCTGTCTTGGCATAACAGCAGGTATCAGAGGTCGAGAAATCATCGCTTAGAGGTTTTAGAGGTCAGTCTAATTTTCACTGCAGTCGAAGCAGGAGGTAATGAAGAGAGAAACTCTGAGTTTATGCAAGTCAGGGCTTGTTGCCTTAAAGTGGTCTCCTCAGAGAGCTCAGCAGTAAAATGGAATCCTCACACAAATTAATTTTTTTCTGATTTTTCACAGGACAGGATTTTCCTCGATACAATATGCCAGGAGGAAAATCTTCCCAGGTTTACCGATTGCTGTGCTAAAAAGGATCCTGAAAGAAATGACTGCTTCCTTTCCCTTAAAAACTCATCGAGAGGATTCATTTCTCCTTTTGAAAGGCCAAATGCTGAAGCCGCCTGCAAAAATCATTCACAGCATCAACATTCTTTAACAGGATAGTAAGTAAATAAGTCATAGATTTGTTGCCTAGATATGACAGTTATGAGCCTAGAGACAGCAAATGCAGCATCAACCAGTAAGTTCAGTCTAAGATTCTCTGCAGTCTCGTACTTGTTTTTCTTCCTAATGCGAATGAGTTGCATAACTCATCTAGCTGTAACTGTCATTATGTGAAGCCTGTTCTGTCACCTCCTGCCTTGGATATAGGTCCAAATGACAAACAATCCGGCCTATTTTGTTGCCGTCTGTGTAAAATACTCATCTGAAACCAAGGACTTCCCTTTGATCCTTAAAAGCCCAGCAGATGTTTTGCTGCCTCTAAGCCAGAACTGGTAGGATTTGAGACTTCAGTTTCCAGGAAAACGTCAGCGCCACCAGAATTGTTCCAAGAGAAACACCGCACTATACAGCTTGTCATTACTACAGGACAACAATCACTTTTAGTAGCTATCATTTTAATACATGGCAGATGCTGCCCCCTGCATGTAAGGGCTTACTCCGAAACTAAAGGCATTTCTCTCTCGGTTTTAGTTTTATCTATGAGATTTCCAGAAGGCATCCTTTCCTCTACGCCCCAACAATCCTTTCTGTCGCTACCCGGTATGACGAGATGATGAAGAACTGCTGCGGAAAGGCTGAAGACCCCACTCATAACCTGGAGGAATGCTTTCGGAGACAGGTATTTCACCGCAGGGTTTTAGTTTATTAATATACAACCAGGGACTTTCCTACAGCTAAACAAATACGGAAGCAGAGATATCAGCCATTTCTTTTTCAGCACCTGAACTTCATATTAGAATTCACCTTGCTAAGGACAGGCCGAAATCAGACTCAAATGCTCTCTTGAATTATAGCCTGAACTCCTAAATGAAAATGCCCGACTTCGGGGTGTTGGGCAGATGTACCTTTACAGGGACCCCAATGCAGTCCCCACGCCCTGCGATAGCATCACCGCACACCCTGACTCTGCTGCCTGCACCGGCTTTGTCGTAAGGACGCCGAGAGAGGAGGTGGTGCTATGCATAGTGCAGAAATCTGACTGTTTTTTCCTGTTGATAGCCCCCTGACACATCTCCTGCTCGGCCGAGCATTTGCACTGCAGAGGCATGCCCCACACGTAACCGGTGTCAGAAACTCAGAGCAAACTACCTGTAACGGGGGAAAATAAGCATGGGCAACCTGCCCTTGCTGAATGGCTGAATATGCCTTTCACGCAGCTCGGCTGGGCTGCAAGTGATGGCATAGTTTAACATCAGCTCGTAGTAATGCAAAGCCAGTCACATAGCTCCCGGATAACGATTTCTTCCCCTATGCCAAAAACTATTGCCTAAACTATTGTCTAAAAGGGTTCTGGTTTCTTTTCATAGAACGCTTACTTAATAAATGCTGGTGACTAGATAGCAAGCACAACCGTTAGTTCATATTACGGCTTGGACAGCAATTTTCTTTCACTATTAAAAAATCCCTGTTTCACAAACCATCGCCGCAGTAGTTTTAACTCAAAAGCCTTGTCTTGTCTTTTCTTCCACTTTCATGATCTGCATCTTCTTTCTACCAGGCACCAAAGGTAGTGAAGCCAGTAAAAGAAGACGGCCTGAGGCAGGAACACACATGTGGAATCTTGAAGAAGTTTGGAGAAAGGACCATAAAGGCTCTGTGAGTCTTCCCCATGTTTATCATTTTGAAATAAAGCGTGGATCTTGCATGTTAGCTGTGGGTGGCTCCACACCTGCACGTGGTAGAGTGACCCCGAATACCAGCCATGTCCTTTCTGTGTGCAGGTCACTAGTAGCAGCTAACAAGGAATACAGACGAGGAATACAAATTTATGCATGACAGCAGTCACTTACAAACTGCCATTAGCTTTCAAAATCTCAACCCAAAGTTTGAAATGAACGCATCTCTCTGTGATGAAGGTTAGAGTGATTGTGAGCAAAATACAACTCATCTCTCCTAACCATTTTTGACACGAGGTTGCTCCTGTAATTTCATGCTCACCTACCACATTTCGTTCCCCCATCTCACACTGAAATTCACCTAGGATCCTTAGAGAACTCTCAAAATCGCAGCTATTGCCTTCAAGGGACATTTATTTGTTAACTTCAGTGGCAGCAGGGACAGACCATTCCTGAGCAGCTTGGATAACCCCTCCGCAGAAGAATGACGACAGCTATCACAGTCTCACACTGTGAATATAAACAGTAACTATTTTTCTTCATTGTAGGAAACTTGCTCAGATAAGCCAAAAATTCCCTAAAGCCGATTTCGTTACTGTCAACAAACTTGTGATGGATATTGCTAACATGCACAAGGACTGCTGTCGTGGAGAAATGCTGGACTGTATGCACGATAGGGTAAAACTCATTTAATATTTCTATGTTTGCAGAAATTGAATGCTTTTTTTTGTTGTTTTCAGACTTTTTTTTTTCCTCCCATGCTGCACTGATTGCTCTCCAAAACTGGAGTTTAACTCTTCAATCTAAAAACCTGGTTGATTTTCCCATTTGACTTTTTCTGGTGTAAAGTCATCAACAAGGTCAGAAAGATCAACTTTGTGACTAAAATGACATAACACTGCTTCAGCAGATTTGGTCACAGCTCCTAGCTGTGCCATGTATTTTCTGAGCAACTTTTGGCAAAACACCGTATCTGCCCATCCTCTGTTCTCTACCTTCTTCTAACATACCAAATCCATTTATCTCACTGCTTGTCTGCGGTGTCTAGCGAGACAGCTAACGTCTCCGCTCAGGTGGTTACCTAGGAGCACCTATCAAATGGCAAGCAAGGGACTGCAGCAAACAGATCAACAGGACTTCGGTCTTCTTCCTTGTTCTGCCAGATGTCTGTTTCACAGTTTTGGCCAGCCACCTCTTCTCTTTGGGAGTCACCTCCTCTGTCTGTAAAATGGAGATAAAAACCACTGATCAAAAAAAAAAAAAAAAGGACCAAAATCCAGTAAAATGCCCTTCCTTCCCTTTTTGCTTTACAGGAAGAGATTCTACACTATGTCTGCACCAACCAAGACATCCTATCAAGTAAAATTAAGAAGTGCTGTGAAAAGCCTCTGTTACAAAGAAGTGAATGCATAGTTAATGCAGAAAATGACGACAAACCTGCAGACCTGTCCCCCCACGTCAGGGAGTTTATAGAAGACAAAGGAGTATGTGAACGTTTTGCTCAGGAAAAAGACGCACACTTAGCCAGGTAACGTGGGTCATCTTCTACTCTTCAATTTTGCTGTTTCAATACTTGGGTTAAAAGATGACAGTTTGGATGTTAAAGCCCAGCTCAGCAGCCTCAGATTTGTCTGCTCTGTGAGCACGTAGGCATGGGATACCATGCAAGTTGATCTTGGTAAAACACCACTCAACCCTAGAAGGTATGGAATGGGAACAAATGCAGAACAGGGCACAATTGTTATTTCAGAGACAAAATTGAAGAAACGCATGGGTAATTTAGGTACTATCGGTTCTGATCTCAGGCCCAAAATATAGCTCTGATCTGCTCTTAAGTGGGAGTTCAAAAACACTTGTTTAAGTCAGACTCGTGTCTTGATTCAAACAGGATCAGTCTGTTTCTGTTCTAGCCGCGTTCCTTGTTGCAATGAAGCCCTGATCCTGCACGGGCAGGGTAAACTTGGGCAAGAATGCCACAGGCTGCAACAGAAACAGCATCGAGTCCCAAAGACAGAGAATTCACTTGCAATAACATACATCACTTCCATTTATGAAAAGTGCAGCTTATCTATTGGACACGACTGCTGTGCAGGGCGACTGCTTCAGCAGAGCTAATCGTTTCAGCATGCAGAGAAATGGGTCCGTTACTGGAAATTATTTCGTTATCATTGAGATAGGCGGAAACAAAGATGCCAACCCCAAGCCCCACAAAGCTCTAAGCTATGCTTGACCCAAGCTAACACTGAGCTGGGACTGTTACACGCGCAGGACTTGCTCAGGCAACGCTGTGCTCAGCCAGCCACGTTTTGTTCAGATTCAGACCCAGGCTGAGATGCTGTGAAATCCTCCCCGTTCCACCAGGTATCAGACAAAACCATCCCGAAAGCACCCCTGCTGTCCTTACCACCCCCGACCTCTTGAGGGCAGTTGTTTTGGCTTATCTCTAATTCCTGACACTCCACATGTTGCAGGTTTCTGTATGAGTATTCCAGGAGACACCCTGAATTTTCTGCTCAAATGCTTTTAAGAATTGGTAAAGGATATGAGGACCTACTGAAAGAGTGCTGCAAAACCGGTGCTCCAGACAACTGCTTCAGCAGAGGGGTGGGTGCCGTTGTGCTTCGCACAACATGCTGATGGATTCAAGCGTGTGACCACGTGACTGGTTCTGGCTGAATAGCGAATATCCCTGCTCCAGGTCTACAGCAAGTACCCACAGCTCCTGTAACAAACCCAGAAAACATTACAAAACACGGAAAAAGCACCAACCGAGCCTTTGCAATCTTCAACTGCGAAGCAATTTAAGACGGATAGACAGAGATGCCGGGGAAAGGGATGGAGCTAACATTTCTGTGAGCCCTGCTCTCTTGGGCTCCCCAGCGGTGCTGATCGCCCTCTTGCCAATGTAAAAGGCACTTATGGTTATTGTCTCGGATAAAGAGACAATATTTACAACAGCAGTGTTGTAAATATCTGGTTAGGAGCCACCCTGTGTCCCTGACCTAGCCTTCCATCAGTCATACAAAATTTAATATTTCAAGGTGATTGAAGGTGAACAGTTATCACACTCAGGCGGTTTATAGAGGTTACAGACAGATGGGGATTTCCTAACGGAATTACGACTGGGTGGTATATATCAGGTGAGAGGTAGCTACAGCTATCCAGGCCTTATCATGAGGCAATAGGGCATTCTGCATTCCCCCTGATACGATGACTCCTCAGATTAATTCATTTTTTTCAGGAGGAAGAACTGAAGAAACACATTTATGAAACTGAAAGTGTCATGAAGACAAGCTGCGACATTTACAAGGAGAAAGGAGATTACTATTTCCAGAACGAGTATTGCTTTTTTTTATGCTTCCATTACTCCTGGACCAGCTGGGCACAACTCGGGCTGGAGTAAAGCCACGCATGTCAAAAAAGCTGGGCTAAAAGACATCACTTGAATATTTGGACCAATATATTAACAGCTTCTAGGATTTTTTTTTTTTTTTTATCTTTTCCAAGACAACATTCTGGCCTCTCATGAGTTCTCTCCTTAACCCAACTCATGAAGTAGTGAAGTGACCACTTCATCCATCTCCCATCCATGTTTCCCATGACGTTCTTGCTGTATAGCTGCACTTCGAGCTGTGAGCTGTAACTTGTCATAAATTTGGCCAAAAGAGAGGTGCTGTGTCTTTTGCAAAAGACTTCGCTCTGTCCAGCTCCTGCAGCAGATGGAAACATTAACTATTGTAACAAAAATCTAACTACAGTAGACAGAGCAAAACTGGACTAGCTGAACCATAAATGCAACATGCAGGCACAAGCCTCCTGGAGGAACTTTGGCCCTGATTTGCAATGTTAATGAGCACATGCCTAACTTAAAGTATGTAAGCAATCTCAATGAAACCTCTAACCAGCTTGCATACTTCAAGTTAGGCTTCAGCCAGCCTTCTCTGGGGAGATATATGGGGCTTTTTGCACTCCCGAGCATGTTTGATCTTTGAAAGACCTTGGGAACTAGAGGTTTCCAACAAACCTGGTGGGCTGCGTCTGCCTGTTCTATCAGTTGTTAAGGTTTTCCTGGCCATGGTGGTTAATAAGCACAGTTTTTCTAAAAGAAAAAACAATTCAACTTTTTTAAGCTCATCTTCTGCCCTCATCTAGTCTGCCAAGAAGTCACTCGAGTTCAATTTTGCTCTTAGACAAGCTCCCTACACCCCCAGGGAAATGAATAACATGGGAAAAACTTACGTACCATCTGGTAAGAGGGCCCGCCAACACAACTGGCAATATTATCGTTAATTTTATTTGTTTAGCCTGGTAAGAGACTCGTCAGAAAAAGGAGAGAGCTCAAACAAACAGAGCACGCTTACACTTGCCTGCTTGAGCTTATAAGCACCAGGCTTAGTCCTGCCCTCGCACTAATGAGCATTCTGTGGGGTTTGGCTGGAGCTTCACACATGCGGAGGCAGTGGCTTGCTCACTGCTGCCTGGTGGAACAAAACCACCAATACCAAAGAAATTATCTTTTCAGGCTTCTCATGAGCTTCACCAAGAAGATGCCTCAGCTGACATCAGCAGAGCTGATAAAATTCACCAAGCAAATGACTGCAGTTGGCTCCAAGTGCTGCCAGTTAAGCCAGGACAAGCTACTGCCTTGTGCCGAGGAAAATGTGAGTATTTTTCTTCCGTATCTTGGTCCTACTTGTTCTTGAAACTCTGCCACAAATTCTGCTGCCAGCAGGGTCCGACAGCTTGGAGGAAAGGTAGATGAGAAAAATGTTCACTGAGCTACTGAGCTGGCCTGAAGCTGCGCTTCCAGATACATGCCCGAAGCAAGCATAACAGCATCACTGAAGTTCATGCTTGAATTAAACTACAGGAGGATGAGGAAATTGTCAGGCTAGCGCTAAGCGGTTAACAGTTACACAGTGCAGGCAGTCCGACCCTGTTCCCTCTGAAGCTAACGATCTCTTGTCTGAGTTCATCCTTTCTAGATGCCTGAAGCTGTAGTGCTCTACAGAAAGGATCAATTTTGCGTAGCTCTTCTGTAAGAATTCTCCGGGCCCGTAAACCAAAGTGCTTAAAGAGCTTCAGCCTGTCCTCCAGCCACCCATTTGTACATCACCTTTACAAGCACAGCCAAACATACCCAGAGAGATCCTGCTGATGAAAACAAATCCAATGCAAGTGTGGTTTTATGAAGAAATCACATCATTTCTATGCGCAAAGGACAGTCCCTAAAACTGCACATACATCTTCATTCTGAAAAATCTGAGCTGTTGTTGCACTGACAAAAGTCAGCATTCGGTAGAAATATAAATTGTTTTCTATCTTACAAAAAAGGTTTAATTTAAATTCTCAGTTATTTTTTATAACTTTACTAAGAGCAGCATGTATTTCAGGGATTTTTGAAAATGAAAAAATCATGTAAAATTGTTTTTTTCACCTCTCTTGGTAAAGTTGGATCTCGTGCTTGGAGAAATATGTAGAAGACACCTGACCGACCCTATAAACCCAGGAGTTTGCCACTGCTGCAGTAGCTCCTACGCTCTCAGGAGGCCGTGCATGGGGAAACTAGAAATTGATGAGAATTATGTGCCCTTATCATTGACTCCTGGTCTGTTCACTTTCCATGAAGACCTGTGTACAACTGAAGACGAAAAGTTACAGCACAAGAAGCAGGAGTAAGACGTGCCTCTTTTACTCTGTTACCCCTGCGTTTCTTATTCTCGTCCTGGCAATGCTCACCTTTCCCTTGTCTGCTCTGCCTGGCCTTCTTGTTCTGCAATACGCCATGG